GACACACATGCACGCCACGTTTTTTATTTAAAATAGTTAAATTTATCAATGTCCTGGGTCACAAAAGCAACGTTTGTGAGATTTTATTTAAATTTATTTTTAATTTATTTTAGTTTTATTTATTTCTACCTACGTGACTTTACTGAAAAAAACCTCCGAGTATGAATCCTTGCAGTCACGAAAGCTTCAAATTTAGAATTTGTTGAGATTAACAATAGCCACTTTCTCTACTTTTGAGACATAAGCTATTAGATAATAAAACTGTACTACTAAGGGACAATGTTGTTGTGACACTGTTATTAATGGAGTGGATTATTCACTTCGCTTTTGTGTCCTGGGTCACACAAGCAACGTTTGTGTGGAGTATTAAGAGCCCACTTTCTCTACTTTTGAGGCACTAGCTATTAGGTAATAACACTTTACTACACAGGGACAACAATAAAACATGTTTTTGTTACACACTGAATTATCTACTTAATCGAGGAAATCTCTAAAGCTTTCGTGACTGCAGGGACTTGTCTTCTTGGTTCTTTCGGTAAAGTCGCGTAGAAGGGCTCGTTTTTTGTCTGAAATCCTACGGCCTTTCACTGGAAAAAACACCTCTGCGGTACTAAACTCTACTGATCTGGTATCGACAATCAAGGGGATTTCCCTGTCCCCAGACGACCTGCTTGTCAGTTTGGATGTGGTTTCCTTATTCACCAAAGTTCCTGTACCTGACACCATCGCAATCATTGAAGACTTGATTCATCAAGGACTGAATGCTGGGGTACCCCCCCCCCCCTGGTGAGACACTGCTTAACCAATACATACTTCACCTGGAATGGAACTTTCTACAAACAAACTGAGGGTACCCCAATGGGCTCCCCCCTATCTCCGGTTGTAGCCAACGTTTTCATGAAGAAATTTGAGACTGACGCCATCCAGACTGCCACTCTATGCCCGACCTTGTGGAAGAGGTACGTAGATGACACTTTTGTCATTTGGCCACATGGCCGGCCTGCTCTAGACCAATTCCTCGACCACATCAATTCCATACACCCAGCCATCAGATTCACCATGGAAGTCGAAAAAGATGGCAAGCTACCCTTTTTGGATGTCCTAATTAAAAGGAGACCTGATGGTTCAATGAGCCATTCTGTCTACAGGAAAGCCACCCACACGGATGCTTGCCTAAAACCGGATTCCCACCACCATCCATCCCAGAAAAACTCCCTCGTCAAGACTCTATACCAGGGGTCCTCAAACTTTTTAAACAGGGGGCCAGTTCACTGTCCCTCAGACCGTTGGAGGGCCGGACTATAGTTAAAAAAACAACTATTAACAAATTCCTATGCACACTGCATATATCTTATTTTGAAGTGAAGAAACAAAACGGGAACATACAATATTTAAAATGAAGAACAAGTAAAGTTAAATCAACAAACTTGCCAGTATTTCAATGGGAACTATGGGCCTGCTTTTGGCTAATGAGATGGTCAATGTCCGGTTCCATATTTGTCACTGCTAGTCGTAACAAGTGATGCAAGTGTGCATCCGTTAGTCTAGATCTGGTTGGAGATTTCAAATGTTTCATTCTGGAAAAAGTGTGTTCACAGACATAAGCGCTGCCAAAGATGGTTGCCATTTTGAGTGCATGGTTCCTGAGATGAGGATATGTCTCAGAGGGGAGAGATGCATAGAAATTATGAAGGCTGCTTGACTTGAATGCGTCTTTCAGAGAGTCACAATTCTGCAGTTCAGCCAGTTCCATTTGGTAAATTGTATCCACATTTTCAATGTCAATAGAAAATGGGTTATGGAAAAGCTGTATGTCCTGTTCATGGAGATGAAGCTCTTTAAATCTAAATTGGAACTCCTTTTGCAATTTTTCCAGTGAATCCACACATGTTTTGTTTGGGAATGCAACCAATGTTTTTTCCGCTAACAGATTTTGAGTTGTGGGGAGATGGCAGAAGTTTTCCTCCTTCACTTGTTTGATGAGGAGGCCTAATTTTACTTCAAATGCTTTGACATGTGATTACATATCACAGATGAGCTTCCCCTTTCCTTGAAGTTGCACATTGAAACTGTTGAGTAGCTCTGTTACATCTGTCAGAAAGGCAAGGTGCCATTTCCATTCTGCATCATTGAGCTCTGGTACTTTTTTGTTTTTTGAAAACAGAAAAGCTGTAATCTGTGGAAGTAAGTCCTAGAAACGTTTCAAAACTCTCCCTCGACTCAGCCAACGGACTTCTGTGTGGTACAGAACATCTTCATAGTCAACATTTAGCTCGGACAGAAATTCCTGAAATTGTCTGTGGTTTAGTGCATGATCTCTAATGAAGTTAACACAAGATACCACAATTTCATAACAGAGTCCCACTTCAGTGATTTACTACACAGCGCTTGTTGGTGGATGAGGCAGTGTATGGCTATTGGATGAGAATGGTTATGTTTGTCCATCTCTTGGTTAATGCGAGCAATTACTCCTTTCTTAGACCCCACCATGCTAGGAGCACAATCAGTTGTCACACTGGCTAGTTTAGCCCAGTTCAGCTCCAAACCATTCACAGTTTGGCAAACCTTTTCATAGATATCCTCTCTTGTAGTTGTTCCTTTGGTGCTTTGCAGTGCAGCAAGCTCTTCTGTGACTTCGAAATAGTCATTCGTCCCACAAATAAAAATTAGAAGTTGTGCAGAATCACGAACATCGTTGCTTTCGTCGAGTGCCAAGGAAAAATAGGAAAGTTTTTTTTGTGGAGTTTTGCAAATGCTGATGGAAATTGTCTCCCATTTCTTCAATCCTCCGTGTAATTGTAGGTCCTAAAAGACTCACTGTACTAAATAAATCGGCCTTCTCTGGACACATCTCTTTGGCAACAGAAAGAAGGCATTCTTTAACAAATTCTCCCTCAACGAATGGTCTGCCAGTGCACACTATTAGCTTGGCAACTTGAAAACTTGCTTTCAGTGATGAAATATTTAGCTGCTTCTGCTTCACAAAAGTATTTTGCGGAGTTAATGTATTTTTCAGTTTTAATATTTTATCTTTTCTCACTTCTCCGACCAAACAATCATATTTATCTTTATGTTGAGTTTCATAGTGTCGACATAAATTGTATTCTTTGAACACAGACACTATATTCTGGCATATCAGACACACAGCTCTTTCCTTGTACTGCATGAAAAAGTAATCATAAGTCCACTGTTTTTTGAATATCCTACACTCCGAGTCAATTTTTCTCTTTCTTGACATCATTGTTTCCTAGGGAGTCAAAATTGCTATTAGTAAAATACCAATATATATACAGCGCTACAAAAACAATATAGCAGCAATAACTTTGCCCACACAGAGACATACAGACTGCACTGCCCATCAATGCAGTCTGATTGGGGGAACTCCACTTTTACCCCAGGCTCACACTGGTGTGGGTGCCATTAAAAAGTTAATTACACCTGCAGTTTTGTTCACAGATCGCAGTGCGATCTGCGAACTCGCATAGGAATATGATCGCATGGGGGAGAAGACCCATGCGATCCACTGCAGGAAAAAAGGCACATGTGCCTTTTTTTCTTCCGAATCTAATGCAAGTTCAGCCATACAAGCATATGGCTGAACTCGCACTGCTCAGAGATCGCAACAGTATGAACCGGGGCTTACACAACATACAACATATAACCTCATATAATTGAATAGCAATCAGAATATAAATGCACTTACTGTCATTTAAATTGGGTTTCCTACTCCTCGGCTGTCTGTCACTGACTAGCACGGGAAAACAGCAGGCAGCCCCTCCAGAGATCAATCTGTTATTACCCCTCTATCATTTACTCAGCGGTGCGTGTGCTGGGGATCTACATCCCCAGCACACAGGAATATCACTGAGAGTGGAGCCGAGGGGCAAGTGAGGGAGCTGAGGGAGGGAGAGCCAGTCAAGCGCAGCCAGGGGAGGGCTGGCAGCCTTAGGCCTGGCGGGCAAATCCAGTCAATTGGCCCATTGAACCATTCACCAGCGCAGCCCAATGAGTGCCCACCGCCGCAGCTCAATCAGTGCGCCACCGCAGCCCAATCAGTGCCCACCACCGCAGCCCAATGAGTGCTCACCAGCGCAGCCAAATTAGTGCTCACAAGCGCAGCCCAATTAGTGACCATGGGCCGGATAAATGTCCTCGGCGGGCCGCATGTGGCCCGCGGGCCGTAGTTTGAGGACCCCTGGTTTAGACGGTACGGGAGGTCACGGTTTAAATTCTCAACATCCACCAAAACCAAGAATGGGCCAACATCCCACCCGAGTGGGGCGCGTGAAGCGCGAGGCGAGACCTGCGCTAGAAGCTGGTGCAGCAGCTCGATGCTGCCGGCGTGTGAGATGCCGACACGTGCAACCTTGGCCAAGGTCCCTTCTACATCCGCGCGTTAGCAAGTGAAGGTGCAACAGGGTGCAACACAATCACGCACGAGGCACTTGGTGTCTTTGGGCTTTATTTACGTTCCAATAAGAGATAAAGATACAGCGAGGTCCACAAAGTGCTGCAACGAACGCTTCGCAGCTGCTAAGGCCGCTTTGAGCTCAACGGCAAAAAGACCGAGTTTATCAGCGATGCAAAGTAAGCAACAACACCCCTTGTTTAAGGGACATTCAAAAAAGGTTACTAAATGTAACTTTTGCACTATTGACAGGAACAACTTTGTTCAAAAAGTTACTCGCGCTAAATCTTACAAAAACCCTGGGTAATTACGTAACAACTTTTGGTGCCTACATTTTCCATGTTTTATATGAAAAAATTAAAAAAATCAAAGTGAAAATCGCCATGGAACAGCATTAATGGCAGTATTTGCCACATTGAAGCATCATTTGTGCAGAAATGTCTATTGAGGTACAACTTACCATTCCCATCAACTCAAACCTTGGCAGTCAAATATTCAGAGGCATTACGTTGCAAACGAGGTCACGGTGCATAATACCACTCAATGGCAAAGAGGCTCAACTGTGCCGGTCGCCAGAGGCTTTCGTCCAATATCAAAACAAAAGTAACTTTCGGTTTAAAGTCTTTAAACGAGATGCAAATGGAGACCGCTCGGCCAACGAGTTCTTCAGGGTTTCCAGCCTCGCCAGCAGCTCCCGACGTCGAATCTGCTCGCGCCGCTTCTCCGCCTTGAGTCTCTCCTCCTCGCGCTTCAGGGTGCGCGAATATTCTATCGCGCGCTTCAGGATCTGCGCCTTGGCCGCCTTCTCGTCGTGCGCCAGCTCCGGTATGCCGCCGCGCAGCCACTGGAAACCCTTCTTGATGGAGTCGCGCCGCCGACGCTCCTGGTCGTTGTGCCGCTCGCCAAGCCCCTCCGAGCCGCCGGAGCTCCGAGGGCCACCGCCGCTCCCCGTCGAGACGGCGCGGGACGAGCCGGCCCCGCCGGCGGCGCCCCGGCTCCGCGCGGATCCCCGCGGCGCCGGCGGGGGCGGCGTCTTCGCCCCGCGCGCAGGCGGCGAGGGGGCGGCGTAGTTGTGCTGCTGCTGGTGCACGGGCGGCGTGGACGCCGGCGGGGCGAGTCGCCGCCGCTGCTGCCGCCGCTGCCGCCGGTTGTTGTCGTTGTACCGGGGGGCCGTGTTTGTGTCGTGCACGGCGCGTAGCGCCACGCTCGTTGTGGCGTGGCTCCCCTCCTCCACGGTCACCACGTCAATCTCTCCATCTTCCTCATCCGCGTCGTCGTCATCGTCTGCAGAAGGGAAACACGTATACGTCAGCAACGCAATGTAGAAAATGCAACATTATAAACCTAAACTGCGCAGGTGTAGTGCCAGAAGAGGGGAGGAGCTGCTGGGGGCTCTGGGACCCGAGACAGAGAAGCTCCTCGGCGCCAGGCGCTAGAATCCCAGGCACCCCAGACAGCTAAGCCCTTGGCACCACCAACGGGGGGGGGCTGTGTGTGCTCTGTGGGATATCTGGGGGCGCACACAACCCCACCCTCGTTGGGGACGAGGCAAAAAGGGCAGCTACCTGGCCGACGGGATGGCGGCGCACACAGTTGCAGCAGCTCAGTGTCTACCCGGTCGGTGCCTTGTATGGTTGTTTATGTTCGCGTTATGTCTTGTTTTGTGTTCATTTTGTCGGGCGAGTAACATCTTTAGCCGGCACGATCTCCTTAAGATCGGACTATGTTACGATCGGAGTGTTACAAGCGAGTTTCACCGTCTTCACAAGATTCCAGTGGAGTTAGCGAGGAGGCCCGGCTCTCCGTGGATTATCATCCCGGCGGGGAGGAGGGCGAAGGCGGCGCAGAGAGAGAAGACGGAGGCGAGGCTGCAGGGCCGGTGCGCTAGCCAGGCTACGGAGGCAGCCACTCAAACCACTGCTACCCAGCCTATTTCTCACGAACGCCAGATCCATCGCGAACAAAATGGATGAATTGAGGCTACAGACTACAGCGAGCAACGTAGTGAAGGACAGCTGCATTCTGCTTTTCACAGAAACTTGGCTTCATTCATCCATCCCGGACTCTGCTATTGAGCTTGCAGGCTACACAGCACAGCGCCAGGACAGAACAGTAGACTCTGGTAAGAGCAGAGGAGGGGGGCTCTGTGTGTACGTGAATAAGAGCTGGTGTACTAACACTGTGACTGTAGACAGCCACTGCTCCCCAGATCTGGAGTATGTGACTGTTAAATGCAGGCCGATTTACCTCCCAAGAGAGTTTACTGTGGTCATGATAACTGCTGTTTACATCCCACCGGATGATAATGCTAACTCAGCTATTGGACTTTTACATGGCAGCATTAGCATTCAGCAGAGCAAGTATCCTGACGCTGTGCTGATTATAGCAGGGGATTTCAACCATGCAGACTTAAAAAGCAGCACTCCCTAAATTCCACCAGCATGTTAAGTGTGCTACTAGGGGAACTAAGATTCTGGACAAGGTCTACACCAACATCAAACTAGGCTACAGGGCTAGACCACTACCGCACGTGGGCCAGTCTGACCATTTGTCCCTGCTTTTGATCCCTGCATACGCCCCCATCAAGAAAACGGCTCCTACCACACAAAAACTGTCGCCATCTGGCCTGAGGGTGCCACCCAGCAGCTGCAGGACTGCTTTGATAGGACCGACTGGGGGGTCTTCGAACATCAGGACCTGGAGGTGTTCACATATAGTGTATTGTGCTACATTAAAAACTGCATAGACACTGTCACTGTGGACAAACGCGTTCGGGTTTTACCCAACCAGAAGCCCTGGATGACCCGGGAGGTCCAGCAACTGCTGAAGGAGAGGAATATCGCCTTCAACTCCGGAGACAAGCCCCTCACAGTACAGCCCGAGCTAACCTGAAGAGAGGCATCTGCAAGGCCAAAGCAGACTACAGGAGGAGAATTGAGGAACGCCTGGACAGTCACGACAGCAGGCAGGTGTGGCAGGGAGTCCAGCACCTCACCAACTACAGGGCCAACCGCGGAGCTGCTGATGGTGACAACGCTCTGGCAGAGGAGTTGAACCTCTTCTTCGCCCGCTTTGAGGTGACACCACAAGGGACAGCATCACCAAACCTCACGGTCCACAGCAGCTTAAACCTCACAGTGGAGGAGCATGAGGTGAGGCGCACGCTGCGGGCCGTCGACCCGAGGAAGGCTGCGGGACCTGATGGCGTCCCGGGACGTGTGCTGAGGGACTGTGCTGACGAGCTGGCTGGAGTCTTCACAAGGATTTTCAACCTGTCTCTGGAAACAGTCCACCGTACCAACCTGCCTAAAGTCCTCTACCATAGTCCCGCTGCCCAAAAAAACCCACATTTGCAGCTACAACGACTACCGGCCAGTAGCACTCACGCCAGTGGTGATGAAGTGCTTTGAAAAACTGGTCCGGAGTCACATCATAGGAAGCTTGCCCCGAAACCTTGACCCCACCAGTTTGCCTACAGAGCGAACCGATCCACGGAGGACGCCGTGGCCACAGCACTACATGCTGCACTGTCACACCTGGAGCAGCAGGGGAGCTATGTGCGGATGCTCTTCGTGGATTACAGTTCCGCGTTCAACACCATCCTCCCACACAAACTGGTGGAAAAAACTGGGCGACCTGGGGATTCCACATTCCACCTGCATGTGGATATATAGTTTCCTCTCGGGCCGCAGACAGAGGGTCAGAGTGGGCCGTCATACATCCACAGCCCTGAGCCTCAGTACCGGCTCCCCCCAGGGCTGTGTACTGAGCCCCTGCTCTACTCCCTCTACACACATGACTGTGCCGCCGTCCACCATAGCAACACCATTGTGAAGTTTGCTGATGACACCACAGTTGTGGGGCTCATCTCTGGGGGGATGAGTCTGCCTACAGGGACGAGGTGGAGCGGCTGACAGCATACTGCAGGGGCAACAACCTGCTCCTTAACACCGCAAAGACAAGGAGCTCATAATAGACTACAGGAGAAAGAAACGGACACTCCACCACTAATCATCAGCGGGGACTGTGTGGAGAGGGTGGCAGACTTCTGCTTCCTGGGAGTCCACATTGGGGAGGGCCTGACCTGGAGCGCCAACAGCACTGAGCTTCTGAAAAAGGCCCAGCAGAGACTTTACTTCCTGAGAATTCTCAGGAATAATAACATCACACAGAAACTGCTGGTGTCCTTCTACCGAGCCTCCATCGAGAGCATTCTTACATACTGCATCTGTGTATGGTACACCAGCTGCACAGTGGCTCAGAGGAAAGCGCTCCAGAGGGTCATCAACACAGCCCAAAAGATCGCCGGCTGCCATCTCCCCACACTGGAAGAACTACACAGTTCACGTTGCATCAAAAAAAGCACAGAACATTATAAAGGACTCTTCTCACCCTGGACACTCACTGTTTGAGCTGTTGCCATCAGGCAGACGATTCAGATCAGTCAAAACAAGGACAAACAGATTCAAACAGAGCTTTTATCCTACAGCGATCACCACACTCAATAATGCTAATTAATTATTAAGTAATAGCGTTTACAATTGACTGTGAAATAGAGATGTGCAATGACAAAATGTAACCTTATGTGGGTATGTGGGTATACTTGGGCTGTTTTTATATATAGTATAAATTGATTATCTTTCATTTAATTTTATTTTATTTTCTTGTTTTATTTAATTTAAATTTATGAATGAGGCCCTGACTGGTGAGCATTTTAAATTTCGTTGTACTGGTGACAATGACAATAAACGATCTATCTATCTATCAATCGATCGGGGCCAGTCGCAGCTCAAGATCCAAGACCCGCCAGCCAGCCAGCTTAGGACCCTGGACCCCCTCGTCCCGCTTGTCCTTGTAAGGGCCGGGATGCTGCGAGGGCCAGCGGTGGGACTCTGGGACTCCCGGCTCTACGTCCTTGTGAGGGCGAGTTCCGAGTCCAGACCCCCCCCACCTTGGCTGGGTCGGGTCAGGTAGCCTCCCCTAGGGTAATTGTAGCCAGAGGACCCCAGAGCGTAGCCAGAGTAGTGTATCTAGGCTGTGTACCTAGGCTGTGTACCTAGGCTGTAACACAGTATCAGCACTGTTGAGGTGTTATATTGTAATAATAAAGAAGTTACTTCTACAAGTGTCTCCGGAACCCATTACACAGGTACAGGACCTGTTGAAATGTACACACGCAACATTCGTGTAGTGAGCTTGACAACTGTAAGTTTGTTGTAAACGAAGATGAACAAGCTAATTCGAGAAGTTCTCGTGACTGCAAGGATCCATACTTTTTTGAAGGATGTCATTGACCAACTTTAGCAGCCTCACAGTTCACTGCAGGGTTAGGGGTTAGGGTTAGGGTCAGGGGTTAGGGGCTCTGGGTTAGGGGTTAGGGTCAGGGTCAGGGGTTAGGGTTTAGGGGTTAGGGGTCAGGGTTCGGGGTTAGGCTCCTCCCCCCCCCTCTTAACCTCTATGTAATCTCGTGTCTCTCAGAGCTCGCTTCACTTGATACGTGATTTTGCTGTAACTGTTCCACCTGAAGATGGAAGCTCAAGTTGCCTCCGAAACGTCGTGATTCATTTCATGTTTGACCTGCGTGACTTGACCGAAAAAAACAAAAAGTGTGACCGCGCTAAACACGACCGAATAAAGAAACACGCAAAACAGCGTGCAAGTCTCACCCGAATCGCTGGACGTCTCGTTGCCGGGAGACATCGCCCCGTCCACGACATCTCCCCATCTCCCGCCCCTCGGGCCGGCAGGTGCCGCCCTCCCGGCTCAAAGGGCAGCATCTCGGCGGGCACCGCGGCGGCCGTGGGGCTCGGCACGGCGCGGGAGACCGCGGGCGGCGGCGGCGGCGCCGACTTGTCGGCGGGCGCCAGCCGCTCCAGCGTGGCTCTGGCCAAGGAGGCGGCGCTGCTCCACATGCAGTCCCGCAGCAGCACGGCTCCCACGGCTCCCACGCCGGCAACTGCAGCGGCGGGGTCCCAGACGTGGCCGCGGCTCGCCACTTCGCCGCCATCGCGGCTCGGATCGCCCGAGGGCGGCGGCGTTGGCGTTGAGTTCGCTCCGTCCGGCGCGGGGGGCAGGAGCTCAAACTTCTTCCAAATGTCCTCGCTGGGCAGCGTGGACTGGTGCCAGTCGCAGTGCAGCTCCTCGCCGTCGTAGAAGGTCGAGGAGGAGGAGGAGGAGTCATCCCTGCCGGCAGACATTGCGTGGATGATGACGACGCTGCTGCTACACGTGGTGATGATGATGACGCTACACGTGGTGATGACGCTGCTGCTACTTTCGTCACGCAACAACACGCCGCGTGGTGGCGGGTAGGGTTGTTGTTGTTGTTGTTTACATTCCACCACCCTCCTCCCTGTTGTTGCGTCTTGTTTAATTCTTCTGCAGGGGCCGCCGGGCTCGCCTGTAACCACAGCAAACAATAAAGAAAGCAGCGTCGTTAGCAAAGCGAGCAAACACCACGCAGTCGTAAGTGGCGCTGTTACTCATCCACAGCTCAATTTCATTCATCTCCGGGACGTTAAATTTCGATTTAAAGCTTTCGTGACTGCAGGGATTCATCTTCTTGTTCTTTCGGTAAAGTCGCGTAGAAGGGAAACAATAAAATAATAAAAAATATAAAACAATAACAATTCTCACGACGTTTCGTGTTGCAGTCGACACGTCGTGAGAATTTTTATTGTGTAGTGAATACTTGGGACGCAAGAGGGAGCGCACACACAGGGTGACATACACACACAGGGTGACACACAAAGATCCCCCATATAGCCTTAACAGACTGTAGGGGCAAGTGCTGTTAGCAAGCACCTATGAAGGCCGGAACGGTACACGAGGGGTGGGTGGCCAGCACCACGCCCGCCGCCTTTGTCTCCCTAGTGGCAATGTTTACACACGCACCAGGTACTCATTTGAGGCTGAGTCGACCTAGGGAAGGCCGGGGACCGGTTCAGACAATCGTCTGATGTTGGCCGTGAGCAGGAATCGAACCCGGGTCGCCAGGTTCATAGCGCAGCGCGCTAACCGCTAACTACCGCTCCCCATACAGCGTGACACACACACAGGGTGACACATACAGGGTGACACACACACACAGGGTGACACACACACACAGCGTGACACACACAGGGTGACACACACACGCACATGGTGACACACACACACAGGGTGACACACACATGCACACAGGGTGACACACACACACAGCGTGACACACACAGCGTGACACACACACAGGGTGACACACACACACAGCATGACACACACAGGGTGACACACGCACAGGGTGACACACGCACAGGGTGACACACGCACAGGGTGACACACGCACACGGGGTGACACACACGCACACAGGGTAACAACCACACACAGGGTGACACACACACAGGGTGACATACACACACACACAGGGTGACACACACACAGGGTGACATACACACACACAGAGTGTAACACATACATACACACACACAGCGTGTAACACACACACAGCGTGTAACACACACACACACAGCGTGACACACACACAGGGTGACACACACACACAGGGTGACACACACACACAGGGTGACACACACACACACACACAGGTGACACACACACACACACAGGGTGAGACACACACACAGGGTGACACACACGCACACAGGGTGACACACACACGCACACAGGGTGACACACACAGGGTGACACACGCACACAGGGTGACACACACGCAGGGTGACACACACACGCAGGGTGACACACACACAGGGTGACACACACACACACACACACACAGGGTGACACACACGCACACAGGGTGACACACACACGCAGGGTGACACACACACACACAGGGTGACACACACACACACACAGGGTGACACACACACAGGGTGACACACACACACAGGGTGACACACACACACACACACAGGGTGACACACACACACACACACAGGGTGACACACACACACACAGGGTGACACACACGCACACAGGGTGACACACACAGGGTGACACACACACAGGGTGACACACACACACACAGGGTGACACACACACGCACAGGGTGACACACACAGGGTGACACGCACAGGGTGACACGCACAGGGTGACACGCACACACACACAGGGTGACACGCACACACACACAGGGTGACACACACACACACACACAGGGTGACACACACACACACACACAGGGTGACACACACACACACAGGGTGACACACACACACACAGGGTGACACACACACACGCACAGGGTGACACACACACACGCACAGGGTGACACACACACACACAGGGTGACACACACACACACAGGGTGACACACACACAGCGTGACACACACACACAGCGTGACACATACAGGGTGACACACACACACACACAGGGTGACACACACACAGCGTGACACACACACACAGCGTGACACACAGCGTGACACACACCCACACAGCGTGACACATACAGGGTGACACACACACAGCGCCACCGAGTGACACACATACAGAGTGACACACACACACAGCGCCACCGAGTGACACACACACACAGCGTGACACACACACACAGGGTGTCACATAGTGACACACACACACACAGGGTGACACACACACACAGCGTGACACATACAGGGTGACACACACACAGGGTGACACACACACACACAGGGTGACACACACACAGCGTGACACATACAGGGTGACACACACACAGCGTGACACACACACACACAGCGTGACACACCACCAGCGTGACACACACACACAGGGTGACACACACAGGGTGACACACACACACA